AAAAAAACTCTTTATTTTTCAGTAATGATGGGAACAAACGTTAGTATACAAACCTAGCTTTTTGTGTTTGCATCTTCATGTGACATTATCACGGTGTGGTTTATAAATACGTTTTCTGTGATTTTCATTTAAAAATGAAATAAAGGGTTGAATGGAAAAAAAAAGGACAGCTGCATTATATTAAATAAAATATTCCAATGTATAAACCTGAAATCTGTGTGTAACAGTTGATTATTTTTTTTTGCAGCACTAGAAACAACTATCACAGGCATATCAGGCATAAGACATCCCATCTCTGTCATTAAGTTTTGTGCAATTTGCTTCAAACCTTGTTAAATTATGTTTATGCATTAATTTAAAGACATTCTGCTGAAAGCCAGCTGCAAAAATCCCCCTGTCCAATGATTTCAATCATAAAAGTGACTGTTAGTAAGCCCCTTTACTTTGCAATGGTATTTTGTTCTTGTTTACATAATTTGTGTTTTTGATTTAAGGGATTTTTTTTTTTGATGTAAGTCACTGGGCACTGCGCATGAGGTCCTGAGGTTCTTTAAAATGCCACCCTTCGTCATGGTATTTTGTTCTTGTTACAAACAAGAGGGTAAGAACATTTGGGGTGAAGTTAGATGCACATTTTGTTCTTTATCTTTACCACATCGCGGTTTCAAAATGTCAGGCATCTACTATCACATTGTTGAAGAGACTAGTGAAAACACTTTTGATTCTTTGCACACTGCTCTTTTCTTTTCCTAGGTCTGTCACAATTTCCATACCTACTTTTCTTTGCTAGTTTTGAAATTTTCTTTGTGGTTAGGAGAAGGAGACAGGACACACTTTTCAAGCATATCTCATTTCTTGTTATCTTCCTTTGTTGAAAACCCAGCAAGTGTTTAGTTAGTCATGCCACCTCTCTCTCTCTCTCTCTCACTTCTTTTTGATGATTTAATTTTGTTTTGCTCCTGTGAATTTTCCCCCATTCTACCTTGGTCATATGGTATACCTTGGTATATTTGGTATATTTTCTGGCTCCCTGTGTTATGTTCACTTGACTGTTTTTTCTTCTTCTGATCTCTTGTGATTTTGGACATTTGTTATCTTTTGTACTTTTTTTTAACCATTAGTGCATTATTACAGCTTTGTTTTGGTAGATTTTGTACCTCTTGTGTACTGTACTTCAGGTCCATAACATCTGCTAAAGACTTCAAGATGGACACAGACGTCCGAAAAAAACGACAGAAAACTCAACTGAGAACTGCAAGTTATGCCAAATGTCATTGCGCAAATGATCTGAATAAGCCACACTATGCAGTTGACTGATAAACAAATAGTGTATTCACACCCCCCAAATTGCTCATCAAAATCAGGTTCTCTTTTCTTACACGTAGTAAATGGCAGCATGACTTTCTTTATCCCCCATCTGGATTACTAAGTGCTTCTCTTTTCCAATAGTCAGCTGACCTGCAGTAGTATTTGGGGAAACATCAGCATGCTATAAACTTACTTGTGGTTTGGACAATTGTTATCTTTGGGACTTTGTATTTTTGGACTTCAGCGAGCTATTACAACTTGATTTTAGTAGATTGTGTGCCTCCTGTGTACTGTAATGGCCCACAATGTCTCAAAATTCCACAAAACACTGATTACTCATATGTGTCTCCCACTCACATATGTTTACAGAAAATAAATTCTTGGAGATACACAACACAAGATACAAAAGATATATGGAAGTGAAAACCACAAATTTTGAAGGCCTTTGAAGGCTTACCTTGGAAGCCGCCAATATAGATGACATTGGGCATGGTGGAACGAGGGAACTCAAATGTAAAGTCAACCCGCATGAGCCACAGGTCAGCCTTTTGGGTTAGAGACATGAGGCTAACATTATTTCCAAAATAACGATCACACAAGGCCTGATATGGTTGTCTGGAGACATAGTAGTCCCTGTAAAAAACCATGATGTAATGGATCATATTTCTGATTCTTTGAAAAAAATCCATTTTGTCAGAGTTATGGGAAAAGCATATAGGGATGTAGGACACTGGAGAAGGAGCGACGGCAAGGTGTGCCTCTCCACTAAAAAGCCAGCGCACATTGAAAACCAAAGGCAGCTGGAGGTAATGTGCTAACAGCACACCACCTGGAAATGTAGGATCGGTCAGAAAAAGATCATATCCAGTTTTGTTTAGGTCCCCAATCAGTGTCTTATTCTCAAAGATGGTGGAAGTAAATTTTACCACAACTTCCTGGTTTTGTAGCAAAAAGGTAAACATATTCCAGAGTGATCCGGCATTCTTATTAATTTCCACTGACCTCTTCAAAAAAGAGCTCATGAAGTCTTGACTCTCAACGGGCTGAGATTCTTCCTGGATGATCGTGATGGAGGTGTAATAAGGTGAGAATTCAGAAATATACCAGCTGGTGGATGAACGTAGCACCGTGAATTGATGACCTTGAGAGTGAAGAGCCTTCACAAGGACTTTCATGTTAAGCCAGTGGCTTTCATCTACTGGAAACACTAGCACTTTTCCACCATCACATGGGAAAGTCAGAGTTAAATAAATAAATAAAATTCAGTTGAATCAAATTGAGCACATGATATCTACTATAGACTTCTTCTAAAATTGTAATAGTTAACCTTATCAAACACCTGCCCATTTACACAATAACTGAAGCATGGCATTTATTTTAATTATTTACATTTGTTTGTGGTCACCTTACGAATGTTCCTAGGGTCATTCCTTCTACAATTTATCTGAACATGCAACGGCCAAATAGCTGTCACCACCAGTTACGGGATCAGAAACATGTCATTTTACCAATATTTTGATAATAGGCTCATCTACCAGTTATTTCTTGTGTCAAATGCTGTGAAATGGATAAAGAAAAAATTACGGTCTATTTCCCTGTTTCCAGTATTTGTTCTATTTTTAATTTAAATATTATTTTTTTATTTACCATGGAGGTAAACTTCTGCATGACCTCTATGCAAGAAGCAAATGATGTTTGTGGCTCAAGAAGCAAGGGACGATCGTGGCTCAGGAGTTGGTAGTTCTTCTTGTAACCGTGAGGTTGCCGGTTCTCGGCCGTTGTGTCCTTGGGCAAGACACTTCACCTGTTGCCTACTGGTGATGGTCAGAGGGCCCGGTGGCGCCAGTGTCCGGCAGCCTCGCCTCTGTCAGTGCGCCCCAGGGCAGCTGTGGCTACAATGTAGCTGCCATCACCAGTGTGTGAATGTGTGTGTGAATGACTGAATGTAGTGTGAAGCGCTTTGGGGTCCTTAGGGACTAAGTAAAGCGCTATACAAGTACAGGCCATTTTATCACGTTCTTCTTTTGCTTTTTGATCTAGGACTTTTATTGCATCATTGTTCGGGAGTTGTGTTCCTATAGGTTGAAGCAAATCCTCCTTTTTCCACATCTTCCAGATGTAATCTTTTCTCCAAAGTCCTTGAACTCTCTCATATTGATAGGAGGTTCTGGTTCTTTCCTTAAGTGGTACAGAGATGTCGGTTGTCATTATAATTTCTTTTTTAAAAATCTTCCACTCTTCTGGTTTGAATTCTCAGAATTTACCCTTATTTTATTTTGTCTTAATTTTGAATTCGTCCTACTCAAATAATGTCGTTGTTTTCGTATTTATTTCCTGTTTTTAATTTGTCGTTACTTGTTTCAGCCTCAACTGTTATTTTGTTATTATTATCATTTTCAATTTCTTTCTCTAAATACTTCTCTTATTATTATTATTATTATTATTTTGGAAATTATCAGTATTTGTTTATACTTTATTATTACTCCGGTCTTTTTGTTAATCAATTAATGACTTAAAAAAAATCCTATCCTCAAATGAATGTCAGTGCGCCCCAGGGTGGCTGTGGCTACAGTGTAGCTTGCCATCACCAATGGTTTGAATGTGTGTGTGAATGGGTGGATGACTGAATATGTAAAGCGCTTTGGGATCCTTAGGAACTAGTAAGGCGTTATACAAATACAGGCCATTTACCATTTTACCATTTTACCATGAATGAGGTGAAACATCTTTAAGTAGCTTAAAGAAGTCCAGACGCTTCTCTTTCCAAGCTCCTTAGACTGTGATGACCTGGATAACTGAGTAACTTCACAGACATATCTTCAAATAGTTTTTCTTAAAATTGTGTTTAATTAATTAATTTAGTGTTCTTGTTCTATTTTATTTATTCATTTTATTATTATTTTCAGTTCCACCTGCGCCCACCAGGGACTGGGGAGTGACCTGCAGTATCACCCTCCCACTGGATTGAGCCAGATAGCACATGAGCTCAGTCCTCCGACGAGTTGGCACTATTTTTTCTTTTAGCTGTAATACCCTCTTTGGATACAGGGTGTCGCACTCTGATGAATAGACCCATGCTTCCTACTTCTTCACTTTCCCTTAGCGTTCTACCACTTCCAGTTTTATTGGTTGTGCAACATAAGGAAGAAAATTTGAAAGAAAAACAAAGAACTACTACAGTGAAAAACGTACATTTACCCCAATTTGCTGTTTTTATAAGAAGTACAATATCCCAAACAGCTTTAAAATACGTTATACCATAGAATTTTCATGATGTTGCTTTCATTATCCTCTTCGATTAAGATACTTTAAATACAGTGAGTACTTCCTATTTTTACTGTCCTCAATTTTTTTTACCAATTCACTACCTCGACTGGACTTTGATACCAATGTGGAGGTAAAATGAAAAATAAAATTGTTGTATAACAATTAAGGCCTCAACTGGACTTTGGTTAAGAGAAAATTGCTTGACACATTTCGATGTTCAGATTTAAATATCTGCTGGGCATACAGCTCTGTATACTTTATAAATGATCACATTATTTTTAACTGTCGTTTCCGTTACTACCGCACCCAATTGCAAAGTATACACAGGATGTAACAAAATCATTATCTAGATCTGCTGTAAGATGCGGTGGATTAGATGTCTGCTAGAAAAAAAAACTGAGCACACAGAAACTGTTGATCCCCCCGGCTTGATAACCTAAGTCTCTCTCTACTTGTCTAAACCACAAGAACCGATACACAGACGTAAGAAAGTAGCAGAGTTTCTCATAAACATTGTTATATTTGAATATTAAGAAGAGGTGTCCAAGAGAGCAATCAAGTTTCCCCCTGTTGTTGCTTCTGTTCTCCTCTTATTTTACCTAGCCTGTCAGCTGAGATAGTATAGAATGAACTTCCAATCATATGAGGTGAAATCCCATTTAATGAGTTACTTACAGCAACGACAAATCAAATTAAATGAAAAAAGAAAAAAAAACATGAAGGGAAAGTAAAAAATAAAACACGTAACAAAACCTAAGAAATGATCCACTGAGGCCACTGATTTCTGTACATTTTTTTCTTATCTGTGAGGAACCTTGGAGAAATTTTTGACCAGGACATGTCCTTCAATGCACATATTAAACAAATATGTAAGACTTCTTTTTTCCATTTTCGCAACATCTCTAAAATTAGAAATATCCTGTCTCGGAGTGACGCTGAAAAACTAGTTCATGCATTTATTACTTCCAGGCTGGACTATTGTAATTCATTATTACAATAGTACTAATGAGCCTCCACAAGGATTTTCATGTGAAGCCAGTGGCTTCCATCTACTGGAAATATTAGCACTTTTCCACCATCACATGAGGAAGTCATAGCTAAAAACGACAGTAAGAAAGTCAAGGCTGGATATGGCTCCATCTCTGCAAAACAGACACATTCTTGAATCAACAAATATTTTAAATTCAAAGAGTTTTGGGGCTTCAGAAGAACAGTATCCATACTTAGTTGGTCACATGATTGTTGGCGTTTGGAAATTTCTCTTTGTTATTGTTAGGGTCTTTAACTTCCAATATAAAGTGCCTTGAGGCGACTATTGTTGCGGGTGGTTTAAATAAAAGTGTATTGAATTGAATTGAACACAGGAGCTCTAATATGGACTTCTTCCAAAATGATAATAGTTAACCTTAGCAAACAACTGTCCATTTGCACAATAACTGGAACAACAAATATATTTGCATTATCTTAAGTTTCTTGTTCGAATTTTCTAGTCCCTATTTTAAAAAATGTTTTGTTTAAGTGTGCATCTATCCTTTGATATTATCACATTTGTTAGTTACTTCTTGTTTTATTTTATGTGTTATTTGTCACTTGTATTTAGTTTCACTTCCCCATGTGTCATTACGTTGGTGTTTTGCAGTAATCCCGTAAGTAGTTATATTTATACTGGGCTACTTATCAGAAGTAGGACTGTGATTATAAATAGCTTCACTTTCCTTCTTGTTCCTTTTAAGAGCATCTGTGTCCCTTCATACTCTGATAGATGCACTGGAAAGCAACTTGGGGTTAGCATCTTTCCCAATGATATTTGGCATGTAGAAGTTGAATCACTAGAGTGTTGCAAAAACTGGCACGTTGACACCTAAGATGTGAGTCTCTGGAGATGTAAGTGAGGGAAGTGTGGTATCAGGCCTGCTTTTGAGGGGCTATCTACTCCCTATACAACAGTGTAACCTTGGTTCACATTGTTGGTGAACCAAGGATACTATGAACACTGATTCTGTTCATAGTATTTTATTATCAGTTCAATACAATTTATATTTTCATAGCACCAAACCTCAACAACACTTACCTCAGGGCATTTCATATGGTAAATTAAAGACCCTTCAGTAATAGAGACTAATTAGAATTTCTAAGCTAAAATTACAGAGGGTGATGGGTTTGGTGGTTTCTTATCTCTGCATTTTCAATATAATATAGTTTAATTTCGAACTCCAGCTGACACTGGAGTGGTTTACAGAGGGGTTGGGGAGGCTGTATTTGAGGAGGTAGAGCATCTGTTAATGGGAAGGTTGGTGGTTCATTCCCTGGCCCCTTCATCATTCTATCATCCATTAGAGTGTGAACGGTTGAACAAGACAAGCTGGCCCTCCCCCTGGTTTCACTGATCAGTTTTGACCGGCATGTTAATACACACATGCAGATATTTTTAGAAATGTAGTGTTTATTAAAAACAACAGGCACTTAAATCTCTTTTAGAAACTTAGGCTATGGTCCTACTTACATTTCGGTATTCTGCAAACCTCAGGTGGGTTTGTTTGCATCTGGCTATAAATATTTGTGTTTGTAAGTTGTCTTTGTGCTTTGTCTGTTAATTTTATGTCATTTTTCTGTTGTGCAGAAAACTGAGACTTCCTCAAGTCTTGAGGAACATTCATTTTCACAAAATACTTACCTAACATCTAATAGGTGCCTGAATTAACCATGAATTAAAATACAAAAATAATTTTTATGAAACATCTATTAACACACTCACTAACTCACTCACTAACACGTAATAGCGTGTTAGTGAGTGAGTATTAAGTGTCACGTTAAAATAACCCTCTCCTGTTTTAATCATTGTGGTTATGTTGTCCTGATTTAGGTGTTTATTGTGTTTGGACTTAATGCAATTCAGAATAATGAACTACATGGTCAGAGTTTGTTAAAATGTCTAGTAAGGATTAGAGATGGCACGATACCA